TATTTCTGATATTCTGCTTTCAATGTTAATACATTATATTTGTAAAGAAAGGTTTATTATTTAAACGGTGGGTCACAGTAGTTGCCAGTGACATTTTAAAAACTTATATTTTTTTATGGTTGTCTGTAAAGAAATTTTATAATTTTTATCAAAAAAATAGTTTGTAATCTTGTCATAACGTCACCAAGAGCTTATAGCAATAAATAACTTTCTGAATATTGATTCAAAGTGTCGGTGTTTATCTTTGTTAAAGCTTTCATTTTGTTACCATGCCATTTTTTCAGTTATATTTTCTCTTTCTAATTTTTTTACATTTTCTTAAAAGATTTTTTACTAGTAGCAGTTACTTAAGATAATGCTTCAAACTTGTGGTCATCGTGGCAATTTGTTTAAATCAAAATTTTAAACTTGAACTATTATGTGCTATTTATGTAGTATGCATCTTGGTAAGTATTTGTATAGCCTTCGACAGCCATCGAAACTATCAGTAATAGTGTATAAAAGAGAAAGATATTATTTTTTTCCTAATCATTGAAAGAAATTGAATGAAGATATGATCTTCGCACTTTGCTGGACAATTTAAGCAATTTTCTCATTAACCTGAAAAATTCAGGTGAAGTTGAAATTCTCATTAACCTGAAATGAGAAGTCTCATTAACCTGAAATCCATTGTGAATTTTTCAGGTTAATTTTTCAGTTTAAATTGTCCAGCAAAGTGCGAAGATCATATCTTCATTCCATTTCAAACACCGCACTGCATATAACAATCTTTCATTGAAAGAAATGTTGTTAACCAAAAAATTAATGATATATCATGGTTTGGTGATGAGACATTTAGTTACAGGTATGACTGTATGAGAAAAAGACAGTGATAGACTTTTTATTCATAGACCTGTTAACAAACATTTCTTAAAGGTCATAGTTACAATGTAATCTCGTGACTGTTAGACATATCTTTCCTCTGTCATTAAAATGTAACGTAAGCATATAGAATAAATATTGTATTCATTTCGTCTTGGTTCTCATATATATCCTGTTAAACTCATGCAATTCTATTTATTATAGATAGAGTATTTCATCTTAACTTATTTCATTGAAAATCTATTCTATTAAATGGTTAACTTTTTCTTTTTGGTTATTTAATTCTCATGGTTCAGCTACCTGACGCTTGAAAATTGCTTAATGTACTTTAAAGGACATTGGACGTATATTTTAAGTTAGGAAATATCGCATAGACTTATAATATACCTTTGTTAGTTCAACTAAAGTTTTTTCTTCATGTAACAAAGGCTTTTCTGATTCCAATTTCAAATATACATAATGAAATAAAAAAAAGAAAATAAGTTATATATTTATATATACAGTATACATATTGTATGGTTGTATCGGAGCTTGTTCGTGTCCATGTTCGTGCTCGTGCTCTTGTTCGTACTCGTAGGAAATCGCAGACGATGAAAAACATCAACAAATATGACAGCTAAAGCTTCATGAAACATATTCGCCAAAGTCTGAGAGATGATTACAAATAGAAGAAAGTTATAAGAATTGTATCATTGTAGACAGCAGATTACAGTGATCGGTTACTGCGCAGTATATGGATGTTACAGTAACAGCAAAACTAATTCTGACCATTCTATTTATTTTTTCACTTTCCCAAACGGCGTATATAATACAGATGAAAAAAAAACGAGAAAAAATTTGGATTGAATTTTGTAAAAGGAAGGGTTACAAACCTACAAAGAACTCGACTATTTGCTCTCTGCATTTTGAGAACGATGCCTACATACCATCCTGTTCACTGTCTTTTCTAAATTCAATTAAAGAAAGCCATGCTAAAGGGTAATGCTATACCCACATTAAATAAACCCAAAACCGCAAGTGAAGCTGAAAAACTAACTGCAAAGAGTCGATGCACAGGCAGTCACTTGATAAGAAAGGTAAAATGTCAAAAAGTCTTTAATATTTAGGAAAAGAAATTATTTCTACTTTCACAGAAACTTGCTAACTTTAGTTTCTGGCTATTTTGCTTCATGACAGGATATTGATGACGTGGTAGAAGAATACATAGAGAACAAATGTGCCCCGGTTGAAGAAGAAATTGTAAACGCAGATGCATGCAGTTCTCGTGGGGAGGTTATTTTCCATGAGAACTTAGATTTAATGGAAACCACGCACCATGCTAGTTCTTTCTCAAAAAGAAAAATTACACAAAGTAAAAAAGACACATCGACACAAATTGCAGAGCCATGCAGATGCTACAATCATCGAAAACAATTTATAAGTGTCCCTGTTCAAACATTCATAACGGCAGACAGACTAACGGAAGACCTTTGTGTAATAGACTACCGGTATTTCACCTGATGCTGGCCTCAGGCATCTTGGCCACAGGGCTAGAATGTGCTAAGGTTCTTCGACTTCTCAGTGCATTGAAAATAAAATGTTTCACACGTCGTGAATTTTCAAGATTGCAATCGGCGTATGTTATAACTGCCGCGTTCAATGTTTGGGATGGTGAGAAAAAGTGATTGTTACAAAAACTGAAAGGACAAACTTGCTGTATTGCGTCAGATATGCGAATAGATAGCCCAGGTCACAGCGGGCTGTTTGGTTCCGGGAGCTCTTTGGACGTCGATAACATCGTCATGCTTGATACACAGATCATAAAGGTAATGACAGAGGTTATTAACATATTATAATGATCGTCTGAAAATATTCCGTTGATATAATATAGTCTTCTTTCGTATTTATCTTCTTCCAACGCCATGGAGCTAGAATCCATCAAGCGTCAACTTGCATACCTTGAAAATGTTGATGTTAAAATTGCCAAGCTTGCCAGGAATAGAACATGTCTATGATGTTTGGCATGTGGCCAAAGGTGCAGCTAATTCTCTATTTGCAAGTATTAATCACTCAAATATAAAGGCATCAGTTGTGAATCAAATCATTGGAATTGTGAATCATGTGATAAAGTAAGATGTACTTAAATTGAACCTTTTAGGAGAGAAAAAGAGGTTACTTAAACTTGTAAAAAAGAAGAATATTTGTGCAATAAAGCCTTGGATTGGGGTAACTACATTTAAAAAATGTATATCATGCCATTCCAGAGGAGTATGAGTGATACATGAAGCTATATCTTACACTTTATCTAACAGTCCATCATAAATCATTTGTATTGGGTGGCCAACTCCAGCAGCACTGAAATTGAAAAAGAAGAAAGTGGAAAATTTTGGCAAATCACATTGCGGATATTCATACTCACGAAGAAAACAAGGTGTTTACCAAATGCTTGCATGAAGCCGCTAAACGGCAATGGTTAAAAAAAGGTAAAGGGTAGTATCTAGCTCCAATTCATTCATGGAGACTTCATCACTATACACAAAAAAATAAGTACATGGCGCGCCTGTTCTTTAACAAGTCTCAAAGCATTTCCATGTATATTATAATCTTGTATCTTATCAATCTATTCATAAGACTGACCTCTTTATACTTTTTAAGGTAGTGTGCAGCTCATAAGAAACTAACTGAACTTATTTCAAGACCAAGATATGTGCAGTTAGAAAGTTGTCAAGTAACCAACAAACATTAGGCTTGGAGGCAAAGCATTCACTTGATAATCTTTTTGCATCAAAAAATAAATACTATCCATATACCTCACCCATGGCCAGCTGAAAACATGCATTTTATCTCATATATTTTACTTTAAAAAAGTGTTGCATTGATCAATAAAGATTAATGTGTTATTCCAGCCTATGCAGTTACCCATTGTGAACCTTTCAGGTGATTTTGTGCAAATTTGCATTACAATGAAAATGCTAATAGACCCGATACAACAACACAAAAAGGTGATATAAGCTGGTCAGTTGCATACCCTAAAGCTCACAAAGGAGAAAAAGCTGTGACCAAACCAATAAGCGACTGTCCTACCTACAGTAAGAGTTAATTGACAAATCAGAATCATTAATACCAAAATGTTTATGTGAAACACATTTAAATTTTTCAGATTATGTGCAAGATGTTCAGACTGTGTTTCTGAGACTTCGCAAAGATTTCAACACCACCAGTTATTTATACTGTTTTGAATTTTTACTGTTTTGAAAAGCTAACTATGCTCCATAGCATAGTTAACTTTAACTACCTTTTAACTGGAGTTAGCGCTAACTTACTTTTTTATTCAACTGACTTAACCTCGTGGTTAAATTTAACTACTTTTTAACTGCAAAAAGTGCAGTCTTTCTACAACCGGCCCCTGGCATTTTACTCTACTCTACCATCATGAAACGACTTAAAAAGGTTTCTGTTAAAACTAAATTTTTCAATCGCAAAGGAAACTACATTGTTCGTGCACCTTTGGCAATTGAAACGGTTGCAGATATTGACTAAAATGTAACAAACTTTGGAGGAGACGTTACTTTAAAAACTGGTTGGACCAAAGTGGCTTGTGCAGCCAGCAGTTCAAAAGACTTGGCTGTTACTTTGAGGAATATAATCTCATTTTATTACTGGGAAACGCTTCGATAGCGTCTTCACAACGCAACTCTTGAAGAAAATTGCTTGAAGGCTGGACAGTTGTGTTTTGTTTTTGGTGCTGAGTTGGCTACAGTTCGTTTTACTTATTTTAGACCACGACAATTCTATTGCTCAAAATGTGCAAATGAACTCTTTGAAAACAAAAATCAACATCATGTGATGGGAAAGTGGACAGTAGGTTTACGTATTTTGAAAAACTGCTAACTAGTAGATTTAAAATTTGTATATCAATTCCAAAATGCTTTCATAATTGCTGAAACGCTAAGACACATGTTAACGTTTCTCATTGCACAAGATATTATGAAATTGTAAAAATTTGATTTTGTTTTCTAATTTAGTCCAACCATATCGTTTCACTTTTGCTGAAGGATCTTTTTATTAACAATAAGTGATGAGCAAATTTATATATGTTATTGCTACAGTCATCATCATCATCATCATCATGCAGTCAGTCGTAAGTGACGAGGACTGTTCTATGGTTGGATTGAAGCTCTCCAGGCCGGTCTGTTATCAGCCAGTTGCTTCCAGGTTGTCACGTTGATGTCTCTCCTCTTTAGATTTCGTTTCATGACATCTTTGAGTCTGAGTCGAGGTCGGCCTTGGTTTCGTTTCCCTTCTACTAGTTGACTGTACAATAGCTGGCGTGGTAAACGAGATCTCTCCATACGATGGACATGACCAATCCATCTTAAATTCTTTTGAATCAGCATGTCAGCCATGTGTGGCAGGTCAGTCAGACGGAGAATCTTAGCATTTGCGATCTTGTCCCGCCATGATATCTTCAGAATGTCCCGCAGTTGTCGCATCATATACGCACTCAGTTTCTTCACTTGAAGCCTGTAGATTGTCCATGCCTCCGCTCCATAAAGGAGTGTTGTCAGCACCACCGCCTGATAGACCTTGGCTTTAACTCTGGTCGAGACATGCTTATTTTGCCATAGCCGATCGTTTAGTTGCCTGAACGCTGCACTCGCCCTTCCCATTCTGTTCCTCAGCTCCTTTTCAATCTTAGCATTGCTGGAGATTGTACTACCCAGGTAGTTGAAGTCTGTGGTCTGGACAAGAGGCTATCCGTCTATGGTGATTGCACAGGGTTTTGGGGGAGGGAGTAGAAGCTTTACTGGCTGGTAGAGGCACTCAGTCTTTTTGATGTTTATCTTGAGGCTAAACATAGCGGCAGCCTGTGCAAATTTGTCCACCAATGCCTGCATCTCTGCTGCACTGTGTGCAACCAGAGCACAGTCGTATGCAAAAAGCATATCTCTGACAAGCTGACGTGTTGTGCGTGTCTTAGCTTTGAAGTGTGAGGCGTTGAATAGGTTCCCATCATGTCTAGTCTGGATGTAGATACCTTCCCTTGTGTCCTCGAAGGCAACCTCCAGCATGGCAGCCAGGTAGAATGAGAACATTGTCGGAGCCAGCACACACCCTTGCTTTACACCTGTTGAGACAGCGAATCCCTCAGAGCAGTCGCTCCCACGAGTGACTTTAGCTTGCATTCCTTCGTGAAACGCTTTCACGAGATTGATAATCTTATCCGTACAGCCAAACTTTTCAGTACTGCCCACAAGCCGCCTCTAGGGACAGTGTCAAAGGCCTTAGTAAAGTCTATGAAAACTGCATAGAGGGGCATGTTCTGTTCAGTGCATTTCTCCTGAACCTGTCGTAGGCTGAATATCATATCCATGGTACTCCGCCCACTCCGAAATCCACTCTGGGTCTCAGGAATTACTCTGGGACTTATCATTTCGTTCAGACGATTGAGGAGTATTCGAGCCATCACCTTCCCAGCGATTGAGAGTAGAGAAATGCCGCGATAGTTGCCGCACTCTTTACGACTGCCTTTCTTGAATATAGGGACTATATTGCGTCCTTCCAATCTTGTGGAATCTTCTCTCCTATCCAGATATCTCCGATCACATCTAGCAGCCTCTCTTTGAGTGTTGTACCACCATACTTCCATACTTCTGCAGGTATCCCACAACATCCAGGAGCTTTGCTTTCCTTAGTTGCTGCGATCGCCTTCAGAAGTTCGTCCATCTTTGGGGGCTCATCCAGTACGTGGACTGTTGGACGTTGGGTGATGCTCGCAAGAGCAGCACTATCCACGTTTCCAGGCAGATTTAACAACTGGTCGAAGTGCTGAGCAAATCTTTCCAGTATCTTCTTGTTGTCTGTCAACACAGTCTCTCCATCAAGAGCGAGCAGTTGGGCAGTACCTCTCTTTGTGGGCCATATACTTCTCTAAGACCTCCATAGAAGGACTTCATGTCGTTTTCTGCTGCGGCGTGCTGCAGTTCCTCTGCTTTGGTCTCCCACCACTGAGACTTCTTCTGTCGGGTGTACTTCTGTAGTTTGCTGCGTGCTGATGCAAGGTTTGCCCTGGTAGACCTGGTGTTTACAGTCAGCTGTCTTGCTTTTGCCTGGTTCCTCTCCTCTAATAGTCTGTTTAGCTCCTCGTCTGTTTCGTCAAACCAGTCCTGGTGCTTGCGTTTCGGTTTGCCTAGGATTTCTTTTGTATTAAATACTGTATCCCTTAACGTCTCCCACTTCCCTACAACATCCGAGTCTCCTGTTGTGCTCTCCTGTAGTGATGTTGTCATACTTCTCTGAAAGTCTTTGCGCACATTGTCACACTTCAGTCTGGCCACGTTGAGATTGTACCTGTGCTGTCCTCCAGTTTTCTTGACTTGTTTCCTTAGTGAGAAGGCGATTTTGGACAGCACCATGTTATGATCTGTGTTGCAATCAGCCCCTCTAAATGCTCTGGTGTTGACTATGTCCCTCTGGTCTCTCTGCCTAGTGATCACGTAGTCGATGAGGTGCCAGTGCTTAGACCTCGGGTGCATCCATGTCGTCTTGTGGGTGTGCTTATGCTTGAAAACAGTGTTGGTTATCACCAGACCATATTCAGAGCACAAGGCTAGGAGGAGTTCTCCATTGGTGTTGCACTTGCCCACGCCATAATGTCCCAATACTCCAGGCCAGTTTTCCACTTCATCTCCAACTCTGGCATTTAAGTCTCCGGCTATAATGAGCTTATCGGTGCTGGGCACTTCTCTGATAGTTTCCCTCAACTTCTGATAGAAATCTTCCTTTATCTCATCAGGGTTAGTCATGGTCGGGGCGTAGACACTAACAAAGTAGCCCACACCGTCCCCTGCAGAGGAAGGCGTAGAGTGATTATTCTGTCGCTTACAGCTACCGGTTCTTGTTCCAACTTCTGGGCGATTTGGTTTCTTATAGCAAAACCAACTCCAGCCTCTCTTTTCTCCCTCTCCTCTCTTCCACTCCAGAAAAAGGTGTATCCTTGGTCAACCAAGCTGCCACTTAGAGCCAGCCGGGTTTCACTCAGTGCTGCCACGTCGATGCTGTACCTTGACAACTCCCTTGCTGCTAGCGCTGTTTGCCTTTCCGGTTTGTTTAGATCCAGGTCGATCAAGCAGCGTCCTCACGTTCCATCCTGCGAGTCTCAGATGTTTCTTGATGTCCTCCTTGCGGTCCACCTTGCGTCCTAGCTTACTTCTCACTGGTCGCCGGAGCGGGAGCGGACCAGCGCGAACCTTGGTAACCCGGGCGACGTTCGAGCCGGTATCATGTCTAGCTTCCTTATTCATTTCCATAGAACTGCATGCAAAATGTTAAGTGGCACTGGCTTTGCATTACCAGGACACTCTCTCGGTGGGGCACTGCTGTTCTCCAGCGGGAAGAACAAGTCAGGACGTGCTGGCAACAATACTCCACTGCAGGGACTGCCAATCCAGTTGTCGTTGACTGAACATGGTTGCCTTTACGGGGTCCCATCTCCGTAGTGAGTTGTTTGAGGTTCACCTTCCTTTAGCCTTTAGTCTTAGCAAAGACCTTTCCCACAAGGCAGTGGGGGTTTGCTGGAAGCAGGTGTCAGATGGTCACAAGACTCCATAGTGCCTGTGGCTTTTTAGACAGTTGTTGTTTTTGTATTGTCAGGGTGTCTGACCACCCTATTGCTACAGTAATGCCTTCAATTTATCGTGTTTCTCTATGCATTTAAGTAAATGGCGGCATATACCTTTAGAATAAAAAGCATAATTTTTTCTATATTAATGGTGATCACTTTGTTCAACTTTTTCCAAATCATGGCATTGTTGAAAATGGACAAGATTGTGACACAAAGATTTTTAAACTATTGAAACTAGTTGATCAGTTTGCTAAGTTGTCTTAACAATTTAATGAACCCAGGTATTAGCCATTTTAGAAATTAAAACTTTCCACTATATCATATCTATTTGGGTAATATGAGTTGTATATATTAGCAGGCTTGTGACTACAATTCTAAATTCTAGGCTTCTAATACCACTTCCTATTTTATTTGCTTTGCTTGTAAATATTTACAACTTTTTGATGAATTTCTTAAAAGTAAATGGTTTGAAGCCGGGAGTATCGTTACATGCTTGTAAATGTAGATCGTCCAGGTTAGTATAGTCCTGAGAAGGACTGTTATTGTTGTTGTTGACTGAGGTTTCGACAGCCAGGACAGGTTTTTTTTAAGGTAATCAGCATGTAAAAAGGGTTGCAGTTTGCAATTGTTAAAGACATGCTAAAACACTATTTCGCAGCAATTTTTGACCTGGTACAATGGAGAAGCCCACTGTTGGATTCCATTTTAAATTAATGGATTTGACTGTTGTTTTATTCATGCACAATGAAGCTCCTCTGAAAGATTTTTTCTGAAATTATATTAGAAATTGTGCCAAAGTTGCAGCCAATTACTGTTTACTTATTTTTTTCGCGTTTCTTTTCAAAAACTCTTGAATATTTTATTGTTGTCATGTTTATCGTTTACATGGAAAGACTTGGAAGGAAACTGCCGACTTTGGCTTCATGTAGTCTGTTCGTGAATTGAATGAAATGCACAAAGCATGGCTCTATTTTTTGTACGTTAATGAGTTTCGTTTGTAAAGTGAAATATATATTTATTAATTGACAGTGACGTAGCCAGCTTGGAAATTTTCCTTTGCTATGTCAATTTTCAATCATTTTCATTATTCATGTCTTTAGAAATCTATTGATTTTACAGCAAGAGAACACAGAAAAATTTATACAACACGACAAAATTTTAAGTCTGGCTACGCCACAAGTAATTCGTCAAATTAACAGAACGACATCTCTTACATATCACTTAATTTTTGTGAAAAACTCGAGTTAATATAGCATTCATTTCAAAACTAGTTTTGTGTCTGGATAACAAAAATTTTGTATTTAGATTTTGTGAGAAATCTTAAAGGTCACCTAAAATGCAAAATTCATATTTCTGTTTATTTGACATATAAAATGTATATATTGCGTAGACTATTCAAAGAAAATTTGAAAACAATCCCATGATTATTTTAAGAGATATCAACGTGTGAATTTGTGCTTTTTTTCAATAGAAGTAAAAAATATTCCGTCAGTTTATCGTCGGAAAGTACTCGGCGTGACGTAATAGTTGCCATTGACATTTTGTGCGAGAAAGCGGCAAATATGAATTCATAAATAAAGTTTGATTTTGATCGGCTATTTTAAGATGGTTTACTGTGTGGCATTTAACTGCAAACTCGGTTCTTCTAAGAACCAATCTAAGGCGGAAAAAGTTGGGTTTTTCAGTTTCCCCGCTAAAAATTCTTTACGAAAAGCATGGGTCGATAAGGTGAAAAGGAAAAATTGGAATCCTTCGAAAAGGTCAAAGCTCTGTTCGGCACACTTTGAAGCCTGCTGTTTTGTCCAAAACCCCGGAGTCCTGAAATCTTTAGGATGGCGACCAACCAGGTTAAGGTTAAAGAAAGACGCAATACCAACGATCTTCGACTATTCGAGGTCGAAAGTTGGTGATAAACGGAAACCGGAAGCAACTAGAAACGCGTATGCAAAGCGCAAAAAATTAGAGGTAAAGTCTTGTAGCCAAGCAGTTTTTAATGTAATTATAGTGCATTACTTTAAAAAAACGCATATAAAATTCAGATAATAAACGAAGCTCTTGAGAACTCCGTGGAAAACATTGAGCAGCCTGACGAGGACGAAAATACATCAAAACATGTTCGTTTTTGAGTGGACAACTGGACTCAAGAGATAAATGTAACATAAGTGACAATGGAACAAAACTGACAAAGTGGTAGGGAATGCAATGCAGTTTTGTTTTGTGCAAAAGCCTAAACTGTTGCTTGATGATGTAGAAACGCAGACATGTAAAGTGTCAATCTGATATAAAATCCCAGTCGAAGCAAAAAGCAAACGCACTCAAACGAATGCACAAGTGACGTCTCAAGGTTAATTTTTTACATGAACTCAGCGGAAAATAAACATTTTGAAAAGTGTTTCCTTAATTATGTTTTTCCGTTGCACAGGGACAGAAACCGAAATTATCACGACAAATGCAAGAAGCACTCAAACGGAAGGTAGTTTATCCGTAGATGAAAACGACAATGATGATGATTTCCTATCAGATGCTGAAATAAGCACTTCGGAAAACAACAGTACTGCAGATGAATATCTTACTTTCAGCGAATTTGAATCGTCAGATGATGAAGCATCAATTGCCGAGTAAATTAGTCTGCATCATTTTGAAATAAGATAACCCAAAACATAAGTTCATTTCAAGTATTTTACAGAGCAAGATAACATTCATACAAAAAATAAGTAATTTTTCCATGTTATAGGGAAAATGATGTTACTCAAAAAAAATATATAGTTTTTGACAGCTGTCTAAGTAAGTTGTTCTCTCAGTGTTGACACTGTGGTGGTCACTGCATGATATCAACCAGAAGCATTGGAAGCATGGTGAACATCATCGCTAAATGCTCATGTGGCTCTCTTAATAATTGGAATAGTCAACCTACTCATAGTCAGATGCCATTGGGTAATCTCTTGCTATCTGCCAGTATTCTATTTAGTGGTAACAGCCAATCCAAAATCCTGCAATATATTCAACAAGAAAATGTACAGCTCATTACTGAAAGGTGCTACAACTATATACAAAGTGGAATATCTTATTCCAAGTGTTTTGAATGTTTGAAAAAAGCACCAGACTATTATGATGACAGAGCGTCAGGGAAAGCAGGTTGTTATTGGGGGTGATGGACGATGTGATTCACCAGGCTATTGTGCAAAATATTGCTCATACAGCTGCATGGATTTAGAAAGCAATAAAATTCTAGACACACAATTAGTTCAGGTAACTAGCTCAATTCATTAGTTTATAGTATTGTATTCAAAACAGTATTGTATGCAAACACATCTTAGGAAATGTGTAATATGTACTTATGCAACATGGATACAATGTGTGTAACTAAATCATGTGATATACACCAACATACATGCATACTTGCAGACATACATATCCCAAACACTGTATGATTTTATTTACATTAATATATCTTTACAGTCAAATGAAATTGCAAATTCAGGGGGCAATGGAATTGGAAGGACTGAAAAGATCTTTTAAACTTATTCAGTCACACAATCTTCAAGTGAGTCATCTTATCACAGACAGGCATTGCCAAGTTAAAAAATACATGAAAACCCAACAGCCAGGAGTGAAGCACTATTTTGATGTTTGGCATGTGGCAAAAGGTAAAATTAAGGCTACCAAAAGCTGCTCAAAGTACAGCAATGGGTCTTAAAATAAAGTACTTCCTGATTTGATCAAAGAGTATCTTTATAATCATAAATTACCAAGTGATTAAGAGGTTTTAGAATTTTTCTAATTGCATTTAATTTCATGATATTTTGATCAATTATTGCTATGTTTTGCATTACAATTTTTTAACCAATGTACAGTGTCTATTTTTTCTACAGGTATCAAAAAAAAGGTAATGGCAGCCGGTAAGAAGAGTGGATGTAGATTGCTACTTGATTGGGCACAGTCAATATCTAACCATGTCTACTGGTGTGCTGCAAGTAGTGGTGGTGATGAGAAACTACTTAAGGCTAAATGGCTATCATTGCTGAATCACATTTGCAACATTCATGATGGTCATAGCGAATTATTTCCAAAATGTGAGCATGGTACTCTTGAGCCTCGCTTATGGATAAAGAAAGGTACAAATTAATCCTAAATGCTCTGGTATAAGACATAATAGTTATTTACAGTAATTGATACTTTCTTTATCAACAAACTTCAATTGCCAGCCAATGCCACAATGTGGTGTTATTTGTCAACATATGACATAAATGGGCACCATAAAATTTTCTATCTTTTTTTCCAAGGATCTAGAGCATTTACTGAATTGGCATCGATTGTTGAAAGCAGGTATCTCATGAAAGATATTGGGAAGCTCAGCCATGAGAAACAAACATCAGCTCTTGAAGGTTTTCATCGAGTTGTTATACTATATGCACCAAAGCATACACATTTCTTTTACAAGGCAATGCAAGCTAGGTAAACAAACAATAAACAATGTTGTTTTCATACTGAAAATGATTGCAAGGTGGCACACTAAAAAGTAAAATTAAATTTTTAGATTACTGATTGCTGCTCTCCATTTCAATGAAAATGGAAGTAAAGAACAAAGGCGTACAAAAGAAAATGGGGAATTAATGTGGAAAGTGTCTCACCCCAAATCAAGACAGTCATGTGGAGTCATCAAAGGTGTTAAAATTGATAGTACTTATGGTAAGGACAAGTTTTAGCACTCAAAAGCCAAATAATTGTTCTACTGATGGTACATTTCTTGCACTTCTCAGTTTAATTCTTCTCCCCCTGTTTTACAGACTATGTGAAACAACTAATGGAGGAAGTGATAAGGTGCAGACATGCTAATTCCAGTTTAAACCAAGCAATTGCAACAGAAAGACAACAAAAAAATACCAGATCCACTGACTAGTAGAGTTGAAAAAGTTGATAAAGTAACAGCAGTGCAACAACATACTTCACGATTCAATCTTAACTAAACTGAAGTCTAACACTCACAGGTATTTATAAATGCTGTGCATATTCAAAGCCTTTATATATGCCAGAAGGTGAAGGAAATGCTTTCCTTATTTCTTTAACAGCACAGGATGGTATAGGAAGTCGATATTTCTTGCCAAGCTTTCCATGTATCCATGCTGTCCATTGCCTATAGGCAGTGTAACGCAAAGTTCTGGGAAACAAAACAAAATCAAACATAAGCAAATTATTGTCGATATATGAGGAGATATCAAAAAAGCTGAAACTGACTCGGTTTCTGGAGCGTCTGGTATTGCCCCGTGATCGTGAACGAATACAACCATAGCTGTTCTAACGACTGTTTCGTTGATGCAGACCATGTGAAACTCTTGTTCTTCTGTGATGCATAAATGGTCACCATGAATTTTAGGGTCTGTCTTCGGTTCCTCATGGCAACAAATGCTTTCCCGGCCGGTTGTCATCGCCACACAGTGTCCACACTCACACCTGCCATTAAAATAAAGAAAAGAATTTTATGACGCGATCTGAAATGTTAATCATGAAAAAGCAACGCACCAGTTTGTATTTCCAATCCTGTGAGTATATTCGTCAGATGAGCTGTCCGTTGACGACGACGAAGACAGATCTTCGTCAGTTTCAACATTATTGCTACTAGCTAGCGGTTCAAACATGTAAGGCTGGACCTCCGTAGCAATATATTCGATGTCAAATTCGACTTCTTCCTCCGTTGAAGACATCGAGATAAACACGCATTAATAGTAGCAGCAACAACAAAAGAAAATTGGCGAAATTTAATTTTACTGCTACTGGCTGCACTGAGCAAAACATGCAATGGCAACTCTTACGTCAAACTCGCCCCAGCTTGGGTAATTCAAATTCGCTCGCGCTATTTGAATTCGGCCTTCGGAAATCGTCAATGTCATGAATTCAGAAGACCATATCTCATAAAATATAAAACATTGGACTTTCAAATTTGGCGAATAGGCTAATCATTAGCTAAGCTTTCATATGAAACAAAGTTATATCAAGCATTTCAGGTGACCTTTAAGGACTACACTTTAAATGAAGTGAACACGCAAGAGCAATCACGTAACATGCAATTTTAAAAAACACTTGAGAAAAACGACGATTTTTTTTGAAAGCAAACATGTTTCGACATTATCAGAATGCCATCTTCAGTGCAGAATGGTTAGTGTTAAGTAATATGATACGTAATATGATATGAATAAATTAATTACAATGAATAGGATTATAATTTAGTTACAAAATTATAAAATATTTACAAAAAAGGAAAAGAAAAATAAGTATTAAGAACTTATAACAAAAAATATTATTATAAAGTAAATATAGTGTTGTAGTGGTGAACTTGGATATTTAAATCGGGATTAGTTTTATTAATGTGTAGAGCTTCCTTGATTTTGAGTGAGAAAGTGGACTGATCAGTGTCGATGATTTTAAAACAGGAAGGTGAGAATCTGTTTTTACATGAAGGAGAGGCTTGAAGATGTTTGTAGATAGTGGAGTTTTTGTCTGTGTGAGTATGTGCCTTTATCCTGGTAGATAATTGGCGAGACGTTTCACCAATATAGCGGGAATTACATCCCGCACATGAAAATTGATAAACTACCATAGATTTGGAAAGTTCGGGAAGTGGGTCTTTAAACGAAAATAAAGATTTTATTTTAAAATGTGTGAAAATAAGTTTAACGTTAATGTCAGTGCAGTAGCGTTCAATGATTTGTGTGAGTTTGCGTTGTGTGTGTCGGAGTAATCACCTACGTAAGGTAGTTTGAAATAACGTTTATTGTAAGGTTGTTGTATATCGTTAGTGTTAGTTGTGGAGTTAGATGAGTCACTGCTTTTCTTGTTGTCCAAATAGTGTTGTATAGTGTTGTTGATGAAATGAAAAGGAAAAGAATTACGTTGGAGAGTGAATATTAGTTTCTTTAAATCACGTTGAAAGCCGATGTCTGTGTTGTTAAGTTTCCGTGCTCTGTCGGTCAGTGTTCGTATCAGTCCAATTTTGTAATTTAATGGTGTGAAACTAAAAAAGTTAGTCAGTAGTCCTGTATATGTTGGTTTGTGGTACGCAGAGGTCATACAGTTTTCATGTGATTTAGTTAGTAAGATGTCAAGAAAGGGTAACTGATTGTCTTGTTCGGTTTCGTATGTAAAGTTTATGCTTTGATGTTGTTTGTTGATGTATTCGTAAAAGAGTAATGCTTTGTTATGAAAAATACAAAAAATGTCGTCAACGTATCTGCGGTAAAATAAAGGTTTGTTGTTGCTGTAGTTATTTAACCAGTTTCGTTCGTGAAAACCCATCAAAATGTTGGCTAGAATGGGTGCCAAGGGTGAGCCCATACTTACCCCGTCAATTTGGTCGTAGTACTTACCGTTAAATAAAAAATGAGTCTCGGCCGTACTGATGTTAAACAATAGTTTTAGTTCTGTTCTGTTCATTTTGAATGTAGGGTTGTTGGTAAAAATTAAATCAATTGCAATGTCTATGGTTTTGGTCAGTGGTATGTTGGTAAAAAGGCTTTCAACGTCAAAAGAAATGACAAGTTTTCAGCATCATGGAGAAATTCAAGTTTTATCACAGACTGCTGGCACTGACAGATCACAATTCTATGCTTAGTGGACGTGTGAAACATTACCTTAAAAAAAGAACACATAAAGTGAAGATGAGACAATTTAACTATAATGTTCTTAGAAATTGTTTATCCAGTGTCGTATTGAAGTAGCTCATATAATATTTCAACAATTTAAAAGAATACTTAAATTTTTATGTTTAACTGATTTAATTAAATTTTTGTAAATTTCAAAAAAAGATTACTTGAGCTCTTTTCAATTTGTGCGTAATTAAACAAAGAGCACTCCTTGACCATGAAATCATCTGCACAGTCGGTCAATTTGATCAGACTGCGCTAAAAAAATTACCAGAAATAGGCTTACCAAATCAGAAACGCAAAAAAAGTTAAAATTTTGGCGCATCCATTCTAGTTTTAATAATTACGTTACATTATTGGCTTATGCCAATTTTAAGGTGCATACTATTTATTAGACTACCTATAGCTAATGCATGCACCATCAGTTCAGTGACATTAGCCGGATGCCACCCTAAAGAGGAACTCAAGAATTATCACTAAAGTGGTCAGGGTTTACCATCTGCCTTTCCACTCTGTGAGTTTGGGAAAACTGTTAACTGATTTTAATGCTTAGCAATATGACGTGGTTTCGTCCGGGGCTTTATACAACTAGGACTTGCATCTTTAAGATAGTTCTTTTAAGTAGAGTAAATTCGTCTTAAAGGAATTTGACCATTCGTTATTACAAGCATTTTGTCCTACATTATAGAGATTAAAAATAATTTCTCTTATGATTGTTGTCGCTATCGCACTCCTAGATATTCTTCGCCACACAGCAATTAGCAGATGTATTAACACTGCTTTAGAATCACAAAACAGTTAGTTTGATTGTCCCTTCGACATGTGTGAGGTTGATGTCGTTAAGTCTTTTGAACAATCTAGGTGTGTTGTATTATGAAACTCGGGAATATGACAAAGCTTTACAGATACACTTTGGTAGCTACGTGTTTCAAAGAAAATTGTACCTTCTAAATTATGTTAAGCCTATTTTTAATACATAGACCGTAGGAGCAAGGCATACACTTGCCAAGTCAGCTCCCCTCTCCCTCAGAAGGTATTATTGGTAGTGAATAAAACGTTTGCAATTTGCATTTTGTGAGGTAAAATGAACCTAAAGATGTAATGATCCTTGTCTATATATGATTTCACTGATATCTAGTCAATAAACTTACTCTACAGCCGGGAATCATCCTAAGTAGAACTTAGAACTGCCCATGCCCTGAATCTGACATTCTTCTTTAGACTTATTTCTAAAGTAATTTGCTGTTAGGTTATAACCAAGTAGTAATTTTTATTGTATGATTTAAAAACATACTAAAGTATATTGGGATGACAGAATTTTGTTAAATAAATACTATCCTGTTAGTTATTCATATTCATTGATACATTCAGTAATTTTTTACCCAGCTCCATAAGCCGATGACCATATTCCAGGTTCTTATAATTTCCAAGGGGTACACCTTTCATACCATACATACCACCCCACCATGCTGCAGCCAATATTCCTGTACTGTCCCTATCTCCATTATGAAACAAAGAACAAGAACACAATTGAAACCAGGAATCTTTTGCCATCATCAAAGCATCGTAAGCAATCATTGGTGCATCATGACCACTGGACCCCAACCTGCATAACTCACAGATTTATAAAAAGCATCACGTTCAGGTATGTTATATGTCACTGGAAACTTTGGCTCACTGGTTCCATTCATTAATCCCCGTAGTTCAAGATATGACTCCCAACTATTTTTAAAGTAGCCCCCAAATTTCTTGTTTTCTTGTACATCACGACCAACCTTCTCAATGTATTCCCAAACTTTGGATAAAACACTTAAAAGTCATGCTCTCTATTTTTTTGGAGCAATCTTCTGTATAACATAGGCTGTAAATAAAGCTGCAGTAACAGCTCCAAGATAACCTATAATTAAAATCATTATCTTTAAAGATTGCTAATTTCATGTCATTTACATTATGATGACCCTATTTATATATATTAAAGATATTTGCATATATTAGTACTACATCAACATGGATAAATTAGCGTCGTGCTGCAAAGGTTTTGACAAGGTGAAAATTCAAAATAAAACCAGCAACTATTGTGATTTTTATTGTGAATCTTTGTCTATGGTTGTAAAGCTGTAACCATGACAACAACTGATCTATCGTTAAATGAAGTGTGGAGTTTGATAGTTCAAGGTGATTGCGATAATTTATTTCTCGATGATTAGAGGTCGGGATGTGCTAGTTGCGGTTTAAACCAGTAAAAGTTCATCACTCTTATCATATTTTATATAATAAATCAAAGTTTGTCCCAACAACCTACTAACGAAGCAGTAATCCTACAGAAAAGTCAAAGATAAATGTATACAGCACTAAATATACAACCAAAATGACCCAAAATAACGAAACCCAAATTAGCCAACAAAACAAAACAAGGAGAACGCAAAGCACCCAAACAAAACATACAAGAATACAGAGTACCGACAAAACAAGGCTTTATAAAGCCTTTTGAATTACCCAATTGTAAAATAGATATAATGATACATAAATCCCGGCACGAAGATAACTCAATGTCTACGAAACAAGACGACAAAATAAGAATCATAAAGCGTATAAAACTAACGAAATAGCAATATAACAGTCAAACAAGATCATTCACAGCTCATAAAAAGAGAGAATAAACTGAGAGATACTTCTACAAAGATATTGCTTTCTTATAAAAGAAAAAAACATTTGCATTTCGATTTTACTGTGACCATAAAGCTGATGATTGAATATAAAGATTCAAGACATATTCTCACTAAAAGGGAGCAGAACGCAAAGCAACCAAACAAAACATACAAGAATACATAGTACCGACAAAACAATTCTTATAAAGCCTTTTGACTTACCCAATTGTAAATAGATATAATGATATATAATCCCAGCACAAAGATAACTTAAAGTCTATGAAGCAAGACAACAAAATAAGAATAATGATGCGAAATAGCAATACAACATGCGATCACATTCCAGAGATACTAACAATGAAAGCTGGGACAGATTTAAGAGATATGTTAACACAACAAGAAAACTAAATGTCGACGAAAAAAGCGACATAAAGACAATAGTGCAATTATTGA